TAAAAAAAGGGGGCTGATATCAACGGAAAATCCTTATGACCGCCTGGAGCCGAGTCAAAGCACGTTGAATAGGCACTAGTGAAAAGAGCCTGGAGTTAGCTACCCATCATTGTATCTGTTTGTGAATGTGACTCTAGGGTGACATGCTTTGAGTGGTTGGAATCACTAAAAAAAATGCTGTAAAAGTTCAGGTCCTTTACTGTTTGCAGCTTTACGACTGACTCTCACTCGTTTCTGCACATTTTCCTATTTTCTTAGACAGTAGTGTGAAATGTATTCCAGGTTGTTGGTGATGTTGGTCAATGTATACTTTTTTTATTTGATTAACTCCTTTTGACCATGTAAGACCTAGTTGGGTTATACTTTAGGTTGACATATGCATGCATATTGTTATTGGCAAATAGTAGTTTGATATGCAGTCAAGCCTCAAACTATAATTCTATGCCAGATTTTGACATGACTACAATTGTCGTCGGTATAAAGCAGTGGTAAACTAACCAAAAAAAGGGATTTCCAGGCCAGCATCATTTCAGCCTTGGACACCACACTCTATGCATCCCCCTACCCAGGAGCTGATAGTGCATTAAAGAGTTTTAGAGGCCTTTAATTCCAGTTCCATGTGAAGCAACAAAACACAGATTCAGCCTCCTGAACAACATCAAAACCTCTGCAAATGTAATCTTTCAGAGGCAAAAGTCCAAAACCTCTGACCATAGCCTCTGCAGCAATCCCACTCAAGACATTTAATTATACACAAGTGGGTGCACATTTCAGGTCCGTGCTGACCTGAAATGGCCACAGCAGGTAAATTGTTCATAATTTAAATGCAGTCATTTTATTTCAATATTTATATGTTGTCATTTTAGCCACAGTTAGTGTCTACATGCATTCATCTGTTTGATATTTCATGGAACAATAGATTCTCTGTTCTGCTTGTCTGGGTTGAATATTAGTTCAAATGGATAAAAAAAATACCATTGAAAAAGTCGTTTTTATCATCTTAGAAATTGACAGGTATAAAAATAAATGATGATGTTTTTTGTTGTTTGTTTGTTTTGACTCCATCTGTCAAAATCATTTTGGCCCCAAAATCTGTCATTGACCCCAAGCTGTCATTTTGACAGCTGGGGTCAATAACGGATGATAAAGTGACAAATCCGGTAGGCAGGTAAGAATTTTATTTACAGATAAAATCCACAATATGAAACCGAACACCAAAACTTTCTATTGCACACGTTCTCAATATTCAGCCCTTTTTTCAGCTACTTAACTTGTTAGCTAGCAATTCATTAAATATTTTAGATGTCATCAGATTGCATCATATTTTTATCATGTTTCTTCAAGAAGGTAAATAAATAAAGATGAGTCATTCACTGCTCTTTTATGGTCAACCAAACAGGAATCTGAGCAAATGATCAAATTTCTAATGACTTCACGTGAAACATTTTTGGTAAGACCCAACACACTTCTAGCATTGTGCTACGTCTGTAGCGGATTAAAAGTCGAACTGCTCTGGTCTCAGAAGAGGTTCGTCTCGGGGAGAGCGAACTGCTGAGTGACGGATAAAAGAGCCAGCAGGATCCTCCGTCAGTGTTGGTTTTATAGCTCAGATAAAAACTATAAGGTCGAGGAGCTTTGAGAAAATCTCATCATTAGTCCTCTCACAGGCCGGGATTTAATTATCTACACATCGAAATCGTCCACTTCCCTCTTCTCAGCAAATTATTCTGCTCCTGGAGGATCATAACCATCAAGCCTTTCGTTTCTTTGCTTGCATGTTAAAACAACATCACAAGGATGTCCTCTTTATATGTGTGTGTGTGTGTGTGTGCCTTGAGATAGTAACATTGGTTGCATGCTGAATAGGTGCGTGTTCACTTTCTGAGTACCTTGATGGGTGTTTTGGGAAGCTCTGGAAATAGGCTCATGCATAATTAATCCTCAGACTGAAAATTGACCCAGATGTGGTAGAACCATGTTGGTTCCAGTGGCGTCAGATGTACTCCGAGACAAAAAGAGAGGCAAGAAGTGACAAAAGGGACTAAATAGGGCTTCCAAATGAAGGAGAGAGAGAGAGAGAGAGAAAAACTAACCGCAAAAACAAAAACGGGGGGGCGGGAGGGAGGAAGGATACCGTTGGAAAGCTGATGAGAGTAGAAAGTGAGGACAGAAAAGAGCTTTTACTTCCTCAGAGAGAATTGTAATGCAACTGCTTAATGTCTTAATGTTGATCTCGCTGACTCTGGAGGGACCTCATTAGCTCAAGACAGAGAGCCGTGTTCAGCCATCTATTGTCTCACAGGGATATACACAAATTATTGTGTTAGCTCACGGCAATGACTACAAATGCTGCTTTGCCCAGAATCATCAAAATCTGAAGCCATTTAACTCACAAAGCATTTAGGATTTGTGAGAGATTAGAATAAGACATAAAAAAACCTGTTTTGTTCTGGGAACATTTGAGAGTATGCCACTTCTAGACCTTAATGCTATGATTCAACATATCTTCCAGTGCTATGATTGAATTACTGCTGCAGCAAGATGGAATATCGGTGCAGTAAGTGTCGCCAATTGCTAGTACAGGCAACGCCTTGCAAACTTTGTTCTGCGCTATATATCACAGCAGCATTGTGAAGTGAAACCATGACATTTTAAAGACGCAACTTGAAGACACATGGATTTGGCTCAGATTCCAAAAACGCCCAAAATAGTGAATTTAATAAAGAGGTACAGGAACGACAAGACTGGAAACAAGACAACATCACAACAGGTTTGATCAACAGATGGAGCAACAAAAAGAAGGAGGAGATACAGGACTATATTTACACACATGGGCTGAAGAGACAGGTGGGAACAATTAGGACTGGGCAGACTGGTGGCAAGAAAGGTAAGTCAAATCACAGAAAACACCAGGAAGGAGACGTCGTTTCAAAATTAAACAGGAGACAAAGCTATGGCCTGATCTGTTTAAAAATGAGAAGATGTGTTATGCATGAAGAGACTAGCTAAAGAAATCTGAGAATCTGTATAAAAACATCAGGATTCTAGTATGTTTGTTTTTTTATTTTTCCTTTTGTGTCGGATCTTTTCCAGAGAGGATCTATGTTAGGAGAGCGGGGTAACCTGCACAGCTCATTTCTATCAGCCTCATCAGTGTGTTGAGGATTTAAGAAGCTGCAGAAGTTTTTCCTCCGTTTGGCGCCTTTTCTGTTTCCCTACTACCAGCTTAATTGCCTGAGCCCAACTCTCCTGTGCTCCAGGATCAAGTTCTGTTTCCGGACCCACCTGAATCAGATTACTTTTGCTGCAGCTCTAAAGTCCTTATTTATTCCCTTGCCTGCCTGCTCTCTACCATCAAGCTCACATTCTTTCCGGATCATCGAGCACACCGCTAACCTTCATACTCGCCTCTGGACTCCAAATAATCACCTTCGATTTAGAACCCGATCCTCTCCTCCCAAGGAATCATCTGCCTCAGATCACAGTCAGCAACTCCCTTTTTCAAAAATGTTTATATGAGTCAACTTACCTGATCAACAGATAACCTGCCTCCTCGTTCAGACAAAATTGTCCACGGATCCTCGCCGTCACATTTCTCATTCTCTGTGCGTATAACTGTAAATAAATCCTTTATCCTTTTTAACTCAAGTCCTGAATGTGATTCTGCATGCGAGTCGGGAAACTAAATCCCAGTTTGACGCATCTTAGCCAAAATCTATTATCATGAAAGACAACTTGGGCTTCAGGGGATTTCTGTCTCCCAAAAAAAGCAGTGACAGAAACTTTGTTAAAATGCTTTTTCATTTCGCTAATCGCCCCCTGCTCTTCTCATTCACCACCACACTCTGACAGGTACAAACACACACTTGGACTGATATCTAGCCTAAACGGTGTGTACAATGAAGCACTACATGGTTTGTCATGGGCTTTATACCCTGAGTATCCTGACAAAAATAATGTAAAATTGTCTTTGGCACTCATCTTTACTTTAAACAAGTTAAGTTTTTCAAACTTGACTTGAAAAGGTGACTGTATTTCTAACATTTGTTGATGCTGCTTTAACTCATCACAACTATGGTGATCTATATTGGACCTTTGGTTGAACAGAGGTAACACGTTACACTGTGAAAATATGAGCAGAAGCAGAGCTGATATATCGGTATGATGGCATCTGCTTTTGCTTTCCGTGTCGTACTGTGGCCTGAATGGTATTAACGATACCTCACCATAAGATGGGTGTTTTAAAACCCACCAATGGGCTTTTTGTGCAGTTGTACATGTTTTACTTTGGATCTGTTACTTTTCTCTGGGTTTTCTCGGTCTGAAAACATTGACTTTGTCTATGGTGACTTTAAATGACCCTTTGCTGCAGGTTCACTCCTCAATGTCCTGGCAACCTGTCCAAGGCCAGCTCCAACTTCTGACCACTGACTGTTGGGATGGAGAATTGTCTCTTAAAGTGATGTTTGATTGCAATCAATAAGTTTATTCACTCAACAAAACACATTTCATCACCTATGTAACACTTGATCTACAGTCTGAAAACACTGAAGAAAAACCTTACATAAACCTGCCCCTTTATTAATAATTACAAATTCTTCTTTTCATATATAAAATTAAGAATATATCATCCTCCTCATTGACTCAAAATTGTATAAGACTTTTTTTTTTCTCAAAATATTTTGAATTTGTTTAAAGTAGGACATTTTTTCAAATCTTCATCCAAACTGTTCCATCATTCGACTCCGTGAACATTTGTTTTAAAGTACCGTATTTTCCGCACTATAAGGCGCACCTAAAAACCTTCAATTTCCTCAAAAGCCGACAGTGCGCCTTATATATGGACCAATATTGAGCCACAACAGGTCTAGCAACTACGGTAAGCAGCCGCCGACTTCATTTTCGCCCGTAGAAGAAGCAGCGCGCGGTGCATGCTGGGATAGTTGTCAGAACGCTGGTTTGTTAATAAAGTTTGACTGACAGTCTATAATCAGGTCGTCTGCAGGTCATGTAGCACCACGTTCTCCACGAACATGCTCTGCGCGAACGGAGAAGGGTGACCATCGTCCGCCCACGCCCCAGCCCAGTTGAGGAAGGCTCTCCCTGACCAGAGTCGGACTGTTTTGTTGACATTCTGTTTAGTGGAGCTCCATCTAGTGGATGCATAATGTAACTCCAGCCTCTACTGTAATGTCTATTTTATGCGCCTTGTAATGCGGTGCGCCTTATATATGAAAAAAGTTTTAAAATAGGCCATTCATTGAAGGTGCGCCTTATAATCCAGTGCGCCTTATTGTGCGGAAAATACGGTAGTCCACACTATTTTACTTTTTTAAATCATGCTCCCTTTGGTTATTTGTCACTTGAGCTTAAGACAAATTGTAAATTAAATGGCAATGATGTGTTTCTAGCTTTAAACATAACTGATAATTTTTAAATTAACTAAATGCCTTAATTTCAAAATATATGACTGCGTAAACAAGTTATCTGTATGTTCTCCAGCATTCACTTTATACACGAATCAATACCATAACACTCAAAGCCTTTGATGGGAGTTTTGTATCGTCAGATATAAAACCCAACACTCGGATGTTCTTGGTGAAACTGTTCTGATATTAACTTTTCATCTTTAAGAAAAGTCAACCCTTTGTAGATATGTCAAGGATTTGGTTTATTGAGTTAATATAAGAATATTCTCACTTAAGGAAAACATTGTCACCGGGATGTCATACAGTTCATTACTCTGTGCTGAGTTATTTGTGGCTGTCGAGCGTCACTTTTGGCTGCCGTAATTTTCCACACCTCATCTCCCTTTCCCCGATCTCTCTCTGTCTCCCCATGCATTCCTCCCTGGAGTATATGTCTGTGGATTCATGCGAGAATGCCATTTCTCTAGAGAGGGTCTTGACGTTCGTCGACACGCCGAAGGTCACCTGAGGGTGGCTTCCGAAAACTATCTGAAGCCGAAGATAGAGGCTTACTCGCATTCAGTGACTCGCATTAAGCTGCACCTCAAAGGCAGCACACTCAGCCTGCTGAATATTTTCAACGTAGCATCCAATTTCAGTTTTTCTCACCGTCTGGTGACGAAGAGGTTCAGAGATATACAAGCCAATATCTGATGTGGTTCTCGCTGATGATGAATTGGGTCGGAGTTATGTTAGGTTGGCTACACTTCTGAAACAATGTGTACTATATTGGACTGTTCAATCCCCTGTGTCACCCACTGTGCAGTAAACATTTATCTCTGTGCGGCCGAGATATTTTATAGTTCGGGACTGAAAACAAAGAACGGTGCAGATTGATGCTGCAGGGAGCTGATGTGCAAACACCTCGTTTATCAAACTTGAATCTGCCCGGGACCAGAATTTACCAGATTAGCCTACCTTTTTTTATTTTTTATTTTTTTTTTTTACTGAATCTGCAGGGATTCTTGGTTAGATTTTGCTTGATGCAATTTTCATTTATCTGCCCAAGTGAAACATAAAACAGCCTGCAGCTTTTCATCTTCTGACGATTATGCTTGCTGTGTTTCCCTGCCAACTATCAAGAGTTCCAGGCTCCTGTAAAAAGTCCAAGCAGTCCAGATGGTTAGTTGTGTAACCCATCACATAAAAGAAGCATGTACTGCAATCCATCCATCCATCAGAGACGAGTTGAGTCTCAAAAGCAAAGACTTCAGACTTAAGTGTAGACATTTGATCTGAAGTCGTTACCTCTGGAATCTACCTGGGAAGATCCTCATTCGTCATTGGATGATCAATTTATAAACTTGCGGTTGCAATACTTAATGATAGTGGAAACAGCGTAACAGCTTTTTTAAACTAATATTGATGTGTTCATTAAATCGTTACATTGTTCCTCACTCTTTTTTTTCATTCATAATGTACATTTTAACAGTTTTATCAGCCTATTTTATTTAGAAAATAATTCCTTAGAATTACAAGAAGGCAAAAACCAATTTAGTGCAAAATGTAGATGAAACAATAACACATTAACAACACATTAATGGGTGTAAATTGTGTCGCCACACAAAGATGTGTTAGAAATAGAAACTATATTTAACTTGCCACCACCTAAGACTAAAAAATATATCTAGTAAAATTTGGATTTTTTTTTTTTTTTTTTTTTTTTTTTTTTAGGAAATGAAGACTGAACAAATAGAAAATGGATGTGGGAACCCCCCCACAAAAAAAGTAGCTCAACTCTTATTATGGTTCCAAACATAGAAAATAACAACGGATGGATGGAAGACAAACTTCAGAGCATAATCTCAAATTATGTCCAAAAATCCAGTCTGCTTAGATAAACCATTTCTTTTTAATCACTCTTCTGTTCATAAAGAATTTTATGAACAGTTTTTGTTTCTGGAAACACTTTCTACACGACTGATGGAGATGTCAACATAGTAGAAAATCATTTTCTACTAAATATGTGTTGGCATAGAATAACAGTCATTATACTGCTTGGTTTCTAGAGATGAGTAGGTGTCACCACAAGGGGGCGCCTAGGCCCTTTTTACTCTACCATTGTACAGAGTAAGAACTCGTCTTCCACGTTGTTGTAGAGGAGAAACATTGACGATGATGAGGTGCAGAGCGGTAAACTATCATTACTTTTCTCATGTATGAGACTATAATGTTTAGTACCGTGGAGATCTGGCGTTACGTGGACGAAGTGAAATAAAGTGAAAGTGTGGAATACTTCAAAAGTGCGTCCTGCCGTTTCGGGTTAGAGTGGCTAACCACCGCTGCTAACTCCTTCTCCAAGCTCTCACCGTCACAAGACACGGTCTACTCCACTTACATTCAAACAAGTGTATTTCCACACAAGAAAAATGCAACATTTATGAAATACTAAATATATAAATTCACACACACAACATCTACTCATTCTTGCATAATAACTTTCAGAAAAAGTTGGTATGTAACTGGGAAATGCAGGGTCATATGAAGGACGCCGTCAACAATGGCACACCAACTCGACCTTCTCCATGACAACGTGAAGCAAATGCGTCTGCTCTGGAGGTCACAAAGCTGATGGTTGGAGGCGCAACAACTGAGTCGACTTTGACATGAAGATTTTAATATGAAGCTGCTGCTTTAAAGCCTTGCTTTTAGATGCAGTGGTTTCACCCTCTGGTTTGTGGAGTTGTAAGCTCGGATTTTACAAGATCTAACAAAAAAAAAAAGCATGAAAGTAAAACCTCAACATTATGTTGCAATATTTCACCAAATGCTCTGTTCAGTTTTTATTTATCTAGGAAAACGGGTGATAAAGACCATAATTGTAGTTAAAAAATGTTTTCTGAAGCCGTAAACAATAAAATATATTTTTTACATGGACTTACTGTCTTACCTGCTGATCATTTAATGACAAAGGGAAAACGTACTACTTTTTATATTGAAACTTGTTTTTTGGGGGTTTTATTTTTGATTGCACAAAGTTGAGAATTTGAGATGAACAAGAAGATGCATTGGTACTGAAAGCCCTCAACTAAAATATGCTAAAATGGGGAGTTATTCCCAGTTTCTAATAGTTTTTTTTTTTTTTTTTTTTTTTTGCCACTTCTTCTGCAACGTTTGACTTCAATGTATGCTCATAAAGTACATCCTTAAAACATTTACTGCTTTTTGTAGTCTAATATCACCAGCATTTTTGGTACTAATGATCAATTTCTCTGTATTTCTTTCCTGAATGGGGGATTTTCAGTTTCTGATCTCAATATTTCACAAGATATTGAGCGCTCTGTAAACTTACGGCCACAACCTGGGTAATAAAACATTAAAAATTAATAATTTATCTTACCATGTTTCCTCATGGCATACTGAACTATTTCCACAGAAATCAATGTGCGTACTTTGTCTTTAGTTTCCAATTACACCACTGCTAAGTTTTACACTTGAACATGTTACCTCAGTGTAGAAAATAAAATAAAAAAAGCTAACTGAATTTGACACCTCCATTGGTAGGTGTGACTGCTAAAGGTGTGTGAAAATGTGTCTGTTGAAAGATGAGTCACTGTGAAGGAGACAGTCACAGTCGAAAAGAAAAAGAGCAAATATAGACACCGTGTTTGTCCCAAACCGAGAGGGATTAGCTGCTGAACCGTCTCCGCTGCGGTGTCGGCAGTGACGTTTTGGCACTGTGTGATGAACACTCAGTGAGGAGAAAATAAATTTGGATAATAAAGCAGTGAACTGTTAACTGTATTTAATTATTCGTTTCACGTTAGACAAACTTAAGTTGCCGTCGAGACCGTTTCTTACCTTGCCACATATTGGCGTATCTAGAAAAGCAATTGTCATGGATATAGTCTTGAATTAATTGAACATTTGTGGCTATTGAGGCCTGTCACATCCACGATGCATGTGCTGCTTTCAAAGTTTGTAGGAGAAACCTTGTGAGATTTGTAGTGTTCTGCTGCTTCTGGATCGGGTACATTACTTATTTTTTCCTCCCATGCTTGTTTAAGTCTCCATACATCTCGGAACAGAAAGATCAATGTAAAGTCTAGACAATTGCCTTGTCAATATTAGTTGATTTATCAGAAGGTAGACCAGCCTGCTCTCAACTGAAGCCAATACAAGCACTCAGCATGCAGAGGTGAGGGACTCTCCAACAGTCCAAACAGATGATTTGCATATTTTAGCATAAGATTAATTCTGTAGCAGCAGTGCATGTGCCTTATGTTGTTTTTTTGTTTTGTTTTGTGTTCTTTGGATGGGCAACTGCAAATTTTGCTCAAATTTCAGTTCATGTAAGTACAGCTTAATTCAATTCACTTCCACTATGTATGCTATTAATCATTAAATGTTGACTCTAAAAAATCCAAAATCTATATAAAAAAAGCAATATATGTGAAGCAAATTCCAAAAACTGCATTCATTATTTCTGGGCTATGTAGACAACCCTTCTGTACCATTATAGTTATACAAATTTCACTTGTATAACACTTTCATGCTAACAATATTATCCAGAAGTTTGACTTCTTTATGAAGAAAATGTTAACCTTTTATACAAGCACCTTAACTATGCAGCATTTCTGTGGAGAAAGATTGGCACTGAAGTGTCTGTAAGTTATAGAAATCAGTACATTTACGATGTCGCTGAGCCATTAATAACAATATTAAGCTTTAATACCAGCTATGACGCATTAACATCAAACCTTTCGATTCAGTTCTAAATAGAGGGTCTATTTTGTCAGAGACAACACAGTTGAGGATGTAATTTATGCGACCAAATTAAAAACGAGTCATTTGGGAGCAGGTTTTATTCATCCTGAAAGAGGATCCGCTGTAATTTATGACAGCCAGGGCTGGAGTGTGATGGGAAGGCAATCCCACACTGCAGAGCTTTTGTGTAGTCCAGCGCGCATCAACTCGAGCGTCGGGGGAGAGCAGACAAATGTCATCCATGTTTCAGCGTCTCACGCGGCAAATATTTGTCTCTTCTGGTGTTTTTGTTGTGTCTACAAATTGAATGCTGCGATTGTGTTTGTGAATCTGGCGCTCTTTGGACAGGAATCATTAACAAATCTCAGTTGGTGTGAGAGAGAGAAGCAATCAAACATAGTCTGAGATCTGAATGAGGTTTTGCCAGAAACCGCAATGCTGAAGGTCAGTCAAGGCGAGTAGAAACTTGACTCCCTTTGTTTATTACATTTAATCTGAAAAAAAGATGATTTGTTTCTGATAATGTACATTTTCTAAGTTGAAGAGTACCGATGAGCAGGAAGCGTCCATCGTCCGTTCAGCGGGTGTTAAGGCAATCTCGCTTTGCTCTCCATCAGGATTGTTTTCCCTGATATCTGAGGGCAAATCTTCTGACGTTTTCAAGAACAAAAACTCATATTGTGTGACTGTAGAAGTTGTAGTAAAGGTTAATTCACATCTTATGCCCACAGCAGTCCTGTCGTCTACATTTGACTCTTCTCTCGGCTTACAAGCAGACATCGCCCTCTACTTATCCACGAAACCACAGTAAAAAGTTACGGTATTGAAGAACCAAAACCAAAATTCAATATTCAATTTAAGCACATTTAATTAGTGGTAAATTAGAATTGCACACATTCCCCCCCGAAGCCATAAAAATTGGCACTCGGCAATTATTCCTCTTAAAATAAAGGTAACAAAAGCGGGTTGTAAATTTGTCTGTAATTGAACAGAGTGTCCTTGGACTTTTTAATGAACAATCCACTATAATGTTTCCCTGAGGCGTGACACAGAGGCCAATTTCTCTATGCATTTCAGATTAGTCATACAAACTTGTATAGAATTATTTCAAACTTCATAAATCGGGAAAAAGAAGCGACTCACACAAACGGCCAAGCAATGACCCAAACGCATCTTACCGCCGAGGAGGAAGGTGAGGAGGATGGAGAAAATCTTCAAAGCTCACTGTAAAGGAACATCTGTGAATATTTCAGGAGGAATTAATGCTACAGTTATTAGCATTCACCATCTGCAGATTTAATTTGTAGAACATATCGGATATTTTAAAGAAAGTGAAAGTTGGGAAGCCGACATACAGAGGTGCAAAACTACTCGGCATGCTGCTTTATTGAGCTCAATCAAGAGACATTTTATATGATTCAACATCAGAGAAAGGAAAAAATGTCTCTGTTCAATAAACCTCTGGTTTCTGATGTATATTTACAGAACTTAATGCACTATCTAAAGAAATATTTATCCGCTGTAAAACATATTTTTACACACAAACACACACACACACACACACAAAAAAAAACCCTATCTGCAGTGAGTGTGATTTCCTATATAGTTTGACCAGACCATGTGGTGCCTCAGAGAGCAGAAGTAATTCACAGCTCCGCTCTGAACTGAAGGGATGTCTCTGGAGACTGAGCCTACTTCCCCGGCCCTCAGAGGCAGTATTAAACTTACTACAAACACAAATTGCCTCCACTGTGAACACCAGAGGCATTCTTTGAACACCTGCAGATATTTGAGACGGCTCGCAGAAAAAACAAAACAAAACAAAAAAAAAAAAAAAACTGAAAGAAGCACAGATTAAATACTCTGTTAGGTGTTGGTGATGTGGCGAGATGCGCTGCTATGACGTGTGTATAATGCTCTGAACTTATGATCCTGTCTTAATTATAACTTTTTTTAAATGCCAAAAAAAATATAAACATACTCTTAATCCTTGGTATGAAATTGATTAGCTATTTTCTGTATGTGAATCGGGAGGAAGAGGAAGCTAAAATGTGTCGCAGATTGTAAAATGAACCAAGAATCTTGTTTCTAATCCATAATAATCTGTGACACAAAAGGAGTTTGAGCTGAAAAACTACAACCAATTCTGAAATCACAACTGGGCAGGAAAAAAAAATGTTGACGCAAGAATTTGTATGCGGCTGAAGCATTAAGCTGGTGCTACGATGTCATCACCCAATAAAACATTCATCTAAACTCACTCTGCTGACCTGACTATTAATATTTATCCTGTAAACACTCTGGCTACGACCGTCGGCTTAGCCTCTCATATTTCTATAATATTTTGTTGTTTTTACATCAGAGGCTCCAGTGTGAAAACCTGATGCGTCTGCCTGTTCTGGTTTTATTTTTAACTTTTCATTATTTACCCTTTCATCTGTCCTACTCTTTAGTAGAAAATTTCTAAAACATTCATGCTGTGTGGTTGGTGCTGGAGGGAAAACTAGCAAAAGCTCAGTTAGCATCAGAAACGACGTCTGATTGCATTTGTGTTGCAAGTAGAGCGATTCTTTCAGATTCTATTAACGTCTTTATTATACACACTAATGAAAAGGCAGTGCTAATGTCTGATATCCTGGATGCTATTGCGTGTTTGAATGGTCGCTCTGTGCATGAACAATCGGATCACTTTCTGAGAAAGTTATTTAAAACATTTACCTTTTTATTGCTGACTTTTAGCTTTAAAAGTTGCTGTGTTCGGTTTGGCCAACATGACAATTGAAAAAATTTTTTTGGAAAAACCTTGAACATGTCTTTCACAAATCAGTGTCCCCCTTAAAACCTAACCACAACCCAAGAGTTGACGTTGAAGTCAGCCAAACCTGTAATCTTTTTAGCAGAGGTTTGCCAACAGATTCAAGAAACTTCCACAGCCATCAAGGCCCAGGTAATCATTCAGCTACAAGTTACTGAAAAGATTGAAATATTCTCCGCCTTCGGTTTTCCCGCCTGTTGCCAACCCCGAGCTTGCACTTCTTTTATTCAGAGCCTCGCCTCTCACAACAACCGAACCGTCCCTGCATCCCATTTAACCACCACAATCATTCACAAGACACACAGGTTTAAGACATTCACCCCGTCGCTCCCTTCCTATTATTCTTATAGGAGTGATTCTAGAGTCCAGTCCCGAGGGACCACCGCCTCTGCATAATTTCAACATCTCTGCCTCCAGCACACCTGACTCAAATGGTGGCTTTAGCTCCAGCGTCCCGTCAGCAGCCTCATAATCGCTCACTTATTCAGGTCAGGTGTGCGGCAGAAGGAAAACGCCTAATTCATGCAGGGCAGCGGTCCCCGAGATACAACCCCAAAGGACCAGGCATCTGTAATGTAGGTAAATGTGTTTATAAAGCGATGACTCCACGGGGTTAAACACATTTAAAACGCCACACTTTTCTGATTTATTGAGTAAAAACTTTTACAACTCTTTTTTTTCCCTCCCTCGTTTTTATTTACCTCTCAATCATGCACTGTATTGTCTTCTTCTGATCTGTCTCACAAAATCGAACAAGAAACATCTGGAATGCAAATTAGGAGAACGTAGAAGGTGAAATTTTTCACAGATTTGAAAGCAAACACTTAAAACCCCACACTTTTCTGATTTGCTTTCTAAAAATGTTTGCAACTTTTTATAATTTTTATTCACCTCTCAGTCATACACTATATTGCTGTGTTGATCTGAATCATAAAATCTACCAAGAAATGTTGAAATCTGAATTCATGACGCAGTATGAAAAAGTTCAGAGGGTTGAGATGAAAATGCTGTGCCATCGTACTATTTTGACGCTACTGCAACAAAAGGTAACTTGTAAAATAAACTGAAAATTAATATTGGAACTTGAGTTTCAGATCTTAAACGTGTGGTTATTTGAAAGGGAAACTCCATTCATACCCCATTCAGAAAAAAAAATAAAGTGAAGACAGATTTAAATTAAAAACACATTTACTAGAAACAGTCCAGTTTTCCACAGTGAAATCAGATGTGAGGTGATGCTACGACTGAAGACAAACATTTTGAACCAGAGCTGAGACATGCTAAGGGGAAAGACACAGAGATATTTGATCTCCCTCGCTCCTGCTCCTACACACTTCCCTGCTTTCTGTGATATGCAGAGGTATGACAGGTATCAAAGCAGAGTACCTTGTCTCAACAAGATGGCACAGAAGACTTGTCTGATTTCAGTCTGTGAGTGGCTCTGAGATTTGCTGATCTGTCACTCATGTCTGAATTTGTTTCCTGACGGGGCACATCTGTAATTCTCTCTCTTTTTTTATTTTAGGTGACGGACATAAAAAGATGGAAGCCAAGTTAATTTATATTTAGCGCAGAAATAGATGAGGTACTGAACAGCCAGCGGGCGACGACCAGGTAGATGGAACATTTTATTAATGATGTTACTTGGAAGTGGACCACTATGTCCTTTACGTTTTTATCTCTTTGAGAAATCGCTCATAATCGTTTCGCCTGATTCAGCTCTGCAAACTTTTAACTGTCTTCCTTCAGAGAACTGAGAGGTTTAACACAGCTTTTAGTCTATACTTTGGCTTGAACGATTAGGGATTCCTCTGGAAGTTCTCTGAAGTATTAAAATTTGGCCCAATGCCGTCGTTACACATCAAAACGTTGATGAATGTTTCATTTATTGTTCCAAAAGCAACTCTAAGCAGGTGAGTTATTAGTCTAGATTTAAAGTCATTCAGTGTTTCGGCTGTTTTGCAGTTTTCAGGAGGATTTAAATCTTCACCAGCTTTCTAATTATTGTTGTTTAGATAATGGGGGATGCTTCTCCTGCTCATTCCAGCTGCTCTCTCATTTTTGCTCTTAATTGACAGGAAGGAGCCTGTAACAATAAAAGGTATGCAACGTTCACAAAAACATTCTGGGCCAAACTGGCAGACATGATTGTCTCAGGTAGATTTGTATCTATTTAATAGCGGACATTATGGTCACCTTCCAAATTTGCATAAGTTGCACTGAACTTCAATCACCGTAGACGAGAATTTTATAGAAACGCTAAATTGCAGCTGCTGCTGTTATGGGTACGGCTTGTAGAAAGGACAATGATAAGCCTGGCAGTAACGATTACTGTTATGATGAGGATGATGATGATGAGGATGATGATGCAAATAGTGAGAGCTTTGTTAAAACAGGATTCTGGCCCCAAGTGTAGGAAATTGGAGGACTATTGTACTTCTAATTTCAGTGTCTGTTTGGGTTAATGCGCTACAGTAACTTGGAGATCCTCATAAGTGTTCGTTCTAAAAGCAACATGGTTTGAGTTCACACTTTTATCTGTGTAGTAGGTGTTGATATAATGATCTGCTGGAATAATAATGAAGAAAATCACAATTTTATACCGTGAGGTTGTGATCGTCACTCAGCTCAGA